GTCTAGTTTGAGGCTGATGGTCTAACATGGCTCTTGCACATCTGCCTTACCCAGGCTAAAGATGGTCAATGTGTGGACCCATGAATCTATCTCTTGCCTGGCTCCTTGCAGACATTGCTAATATGCTGCAGAACTCCTTCCTACTAAGCTTCAGGATCCTTCTCAACACAGTGTTCCAGGCCACCAGTGCTGAGCAGGTGGCATATGAAATGAAACCCATTTGCCACCCCTGCCTGAGAGGCTTCTGGGGTGACTTATCATGGAGCTTCCTTGAGCTACTGGAGCCAGCATTTTATTGCACGTGTGAAAATTGGGACGGAGAGTGCTCTGCTGAGCAGATTAGAAGCAGCTCCCCCTCAAGTCCTCAAGATAACTCCCCCATCTGTGGTCTTGTTACAAACCCAAGGAGCCTGCTCTAAGCCCTTTCCCCTGAGAGGCCTCCATTGGACACAGGATGACTTCTTGTTTAGTTCTAAGGCAGGGAAGCGATTCTCTTGGGCCATAGTTGGGAAGGCATGCGAACAACCACAGGCCTCTGGAGTCAGACAGCCCCTAAAGGGACTTTTCAGAGGGTCCAGAAAGCATTTATTCCTGAGTCCTGAGCAGGGGCCAACCAAGGAAATACCATCGGGAAAGGCTGTTTTCTCTATTCCCAGTTCCCCAGGCCTCCATCCATGGCAGTGCAATGGCTGACTTACCCAGCAGGCTTCCAGACACAAATACTGCAAAACTGGTTGTAAAGCCAAGCCTGATCTCTTTATGCCTTGCCTCCTCCCGACTCCCTGCTTCCTGATAGTTTAGTATATAATCAAATTTAGATGGATTTTGTTTGAATGAGGAACCTCAGAATTAAACATTTGCTCCCCCTCAGGGCTTTTGTGTGGGAGATGTCCTATTACTTAGGGGTTGCCTCTTGACTTCATCGATTCCCTCTCGTGTCAGCCGCTCCATACTCTCTGCTTTGAGAAAGGGCCTGGAACAGACATGAGGAGACCTGAGCTGCCTCTACCAGGCGGGGTGCCCTGTGCAAGCCCCTGGCCTTTCCAGCACTCAGGCATCTCGTTTTTAAAATTGAGGGGTGAGGATTGCTGGTGACGAAGTTCCCTTTCAGCTCTCAAAGTTGTCATTCTAAGCTCTGACCCTCTCCATCACTTAAAAGTAAGGATGAACAATACTGAGACTTACTGTGTGTTTGGAAGGAAGGGCACTGGGAGTTTTACATACATTCTTTCACTTAGTTCTTACAAAAAAAAAAAAAAAAAAGAAGCAGTTACTTCACATTATACCCATGTATCAGGTAGTATTTGGTGCAGCTGCTTACACAGAATGCCCTGAACAATAGTGGCTTAGATAAGACTAAGGGTTTCTTTTTCTGCCCACTGGAGGTTTTTTATTTAAAAAGAAAAAAAAATCGAGTTTTTCTCCTATGTGAAAAACAAAACGTCTGGAGGTGGGCCAGGCCACTGTTGTTTCGATGGCTCCACAGTGTCAACAAGACGTCTACCTTTCTCCTTCACCATCCTTGGCACGTAACTTCAAGGTTACTTCTTGGTCCAAGATAGCAGCAGTAGCTGCAGTCATCACATCTCTGTTTCAGGTAGCAGAAAGCAGGAAGGGAGGGTAAAAGGGCCATCTTCTTTTATTCCTAGAAATCCCAATACTTCTGCTTACATTTCATTGGTCAGAACTCACATGTTACATATTCATATCTAGCTGCAAAGAGAGGCTGGGAAATGCAGTCTTATTGTTTCCCAGTCACAATGTAGCACAGGCAAATATTTGAGTTCTGTCATAAGACAAAAAAATGAGAGTAGATATTAGAGTAGATACCACCAGTTTCTTTCTTCACATTACCTTTGACCACTGAGAAGGCAGGGTACACAGTGGCTAAACAACTAGCCCTTTACTTTCATTTATTTTTTATTTTAACAGCTTTTGGGGAACAAGTGGTTTTGGGTAACATGGATAAATTCTTTAGTGGTGATTTCTGAGATTTTGGTGCACCCGTCACCCAAGCAGTGTACACAGTACCCAATATGTAGTCTTTATCCCTTGCTCCGCTCCCGCACCCTGAGTCCCCAAAGTCCATTCTATCATTCTTTTGCCTTTGCATCCTCATAGCTTAGCTCCCACTTAGAAGTGAGAACATACGATGTTTGGTTTTCCATTCCTAAGTTGCTTCACTTAGAATAATAGTCTCCAGCTCCATCCAGGTTGCTGCAAATGCCATTATTTGGTTCTGTTTTAAGGCTGAGTAGTATTCCATGGTGTATGTGTACCATATTTTCTTTATCCACTTGCTGACAACCAGCCTTTTAGAGATGTGTGCTTGCTGGTGGCTGAGGCAGATGTGGCCCCGGGCAGCCTGCATCCAGAGCCTGTGCTCTTACGTGCTGTGCCATTTGTCCTCCCTGGCGTTCATTCCCTTGCTGCTGCTTTTCCCTTCTTATCAGAAGCTTCATGCAGTCTCCCTGGCTCTAAATTTAGTTCTCCCTCTGTATCAGGAAAGCCTGATTGAGGCTTCATGTTCAACCACCTCCAAAAGGCAGGAAAATTGGGCAGGACTATGAGCCCACAGTGTGACTGCCCTTCAGCCAGGGTCCTCCTGTCACCTGTGGAAGGTTCAGTACACCTGTGAGTCTCCTCTGGCCCCCAGGCTCAGTCCTCATTCCAGATATTCTTGGTCCCTCCCCATTCCACATCCCTCAGTTCCCTCCACAATGTTCCCAAACACTGCGGAGTGCTCTCAATTCTGGTCCTGGCCAAATCCTGGAATCAATTGTTGCCTCTCTTCTTGAGGTGTTCTTATTTGAGAAGATGAAGGGATAATTTTTCTGACTAAAATTTTAGGTGGCAGCGTTCGTTTTTGTAAGTTGGGGATGCTTCCCAAATTAAGCCCTTAAAATCACGTTACAAAGGACTCCTAGTCAAGTTGGTTTGTCACTAAAGCCACTGCCGGGAACTGTCTCCTCCCTGTCTCTTCCTGTCTATTCAGTGTGGTCTAAGAGCTAGACATGCAGAATGTGTTAGGGGACTGGCAGCATCTGCATTACCTGGGAGTTACTAGGTATGTAGGATCTCAGCACCCTACACTGGGCTCCCTGCCTCCCACCTCCTCCTGGACTTACTGAACCAGAATCTGCAGTTTAACAAGGGTGCCCAGGTGATTCTTATATACATCACAGGCTTGCAAAACACTGACCCAGAAAATCTAAGCAGTTGGATTTCTGAGTCATTATGAACTAAAAAAATTCACCTAAGAGTACGCTTATTAAATTCATTGTTTGTTTTAGAAGAAACTGAATTGGGAAAAAGAGAGCAAGTAAAAATTAGGTACTGAAATTTAAAAATTGCTGTTTATGGTACAGTCTTGGTCCTCATGATCTATCCAGTGTATTATGCAAATGTCAGCAGTTCATTGACTGATTGATATATTAGGATGGGGAACCAGACGAGAGTGGATAGAAATTCTCATGCTTACATTTCATCTTAAGATCCCCTTGTAGGCCGGGCGTGGTGGCTCAAGCCTGTAATCCCAGCACTTTGGGAGGCCGAGACGAGCGGATCACAAGGTCAGGAGATCGAGACCATCCTGGCTAACATGGTGAAACCCCGTCTCTACTGAAAAATACAAAAAAACTAGCTGGGTGAGGTGGTGGGCACCTGTAGTCCCAGCTACTCGGGAGGCTGAGGCAGGAGAATGGTGTAAACCCAGGAGGCGGAGCTTGCAGTGAGCTGAGATCGCACCACTGCACTCCAGCCTGGGCGACAGAGCGAGACTCTGTCTCAAAAAAAAAAAAAAAGATTCCCTTGTAAAATTACCTAAATCAGTGCACTTAAGTCTCTGAATGGCTTTTGCAAACCAGATAAGCTTGGCATTTGGGGTTCACGTAATTGGCCGGTTTTGCTAGGAGACTGCCAAAAGCCCCATTGTCTAAACAACTCTTTTAGTTTAAGGATACAATCTAGATTTAAAAGCCAACATGTGACTCACTTTAAGATTGTTAAAAGCTCAGAGGAGAGAGCTGTTGTACTCTCGATCTTGTTATTTTTGTATCCTATCATGGATTTCAGACACCTGAAAGAACAACAGAGCTATTTATTTCTATGAGCCCAGGCTTAAGTTGTGGAGAGCCTCGAAGAATTTCATTTGACACTTTAAAAACACTTCCCCCACCCCAGATTGTTCATGAACTGAGAGCCTCATGTAGAGGTTTTATACTTAGGCAGGCAGCAGGATGTAATGGTTAAAAGCATGGGCTATAGGATCTAACCATCTGGGTTTAAACACAACTTTTATCAACTCTGCAAGGTGGGGAAAATAACCTACCGTCTCTAGGGCTGTCATGATAATTGAGTGAATAAAAACTCAGCCAGATGGTGGCTGCCCTGTTGTAAGCACTATGTAAGCATTTGCTGTTACTATATCTACTTATAATACCTAAACGTCTGGCTCCTTCTTTTTATTTTGCACATGAGGACATGGAGATGGAGAGGTAAAGTCTGTCTGCTGCCTGGCCTGGCGGGGATTCTTCCTTGCCAGCACCGCGTGTTCTCCCAGGGCAGCTCTGTGCTTAGTCAGCACCCACCCAGCAGCTGTGTGGGAATTCTTTCCCTCCCTCTCCATCTCACACAAATGTCCTTGGGTCCCCAGGTGAGGCCAATGACAACAGAATCTGCGGTTGATTCAGGTCCCATTTGAACATTGACATCCCTCCTCCCGCTCTGCTTACCTGGAGCTATTTTCATCCTTTTCACCCTGGTTGGGTGGTGTATGGTCTGGGATGTTGCTGGAAACCCAGCCGGTCTGTGACATCTGAGAGACAAGGACGGCTACCTCAGCTGTCATTAACATCAGAACACTTCTAAGTGACTACACTCAAAGCTACTCCTTCCCCAGGGTTTTGATAATTCCTCCCACCAATTATAGCACTTTACTGAGATTAACTAATTAATCCTCACCATATACCCCAGAGACAAAATTAAAGATAATTCTTTCATAACTGTAAAGCACCTTTTATCTAAGGATTACTAACACTGATGCATTTGTCTCCCATGACAACATCGCAGGTTTCAGAGATGACAAGGAAAATCTTCATTACCATTTCAAGAACTGGGAACAAAGAAAAATCCCGTTCCAGGAGACAGAGGAGGAGATGCGGGTAGCTGAACAGAAACTGTTGAAGATTACCATGGGAATACACCTGTGAACTTCCAGGTGGGGCTATGTCCGCATCGGGTCAGTTTTCTTTATATTGTTTACAATTTCCAGGGATCATGTCCACGATAAGGAACAAGAGCTGGTTCACAGGCTACTGAAACATATGTTTGACTTCCCAAAGAACCTTCTGTTTTCTACTTGCCTACTCGTCTCCATCACACTGTTTCCCTGTCGTCTCTATTTGCCAAAGTTCTGTTTGTGATCTAGATGAAATGAAGCCAATAGCCAAATGCTACAGGAGGGAGAGAACCTGACAAAGACATTATAAACTGAGAATCCTTAAAGAGGAGAGTGGGAGAGGCAGGGTGGAGAATGGGAGAGAAGAAGGGAGAGGTCAGTCTGTCAAAGTTCTGGAACTCTCATTTGGGGTAAACAAAGGGAAAAGAGGGGTCTGCACTCTGTGCCCCAATATTAGGTTTGCTATGATTCTTTTGTAATTGCCTTGGCAGCAGATTAATTTTACTTGACTTGGCAGCATAAACAGCTGCTACTGAGCTGTAGCCGAGGCTGGGAGCTACATCATTGTGCATTATAGCATGGGTGCTTCATAAAGGGGGTCTCAAAAACACTCAGGGAGGCACAAATGATCATTTTGGATCTATTTCTCTCATTTGGGCCAAGCAGTTGCATAATGCATTTGTTCTAAGATCATTAGTGCAAACAACATGGCTGGGTGCTAGTAGTGATTTGCTGGTTTCTCTTCATGACCGACAGCTGTGACCGGAGCTCAGCCGCCCCCCTCCCCCTGCTGGACCTTCAGGATCTGGTGCAGGTGAGTTTGCAGCAGCCAACAAGCAGCTTGACAGGAGCTTTTTCCAGGCCTCTTGGGAATAGGAGTGTCAGAAGGAAAAGCTCTTGCTCAACTCCTAATTCAAGAAAGAGAGGTGAACAAATAAGTAAAAATAAACTTTACACTTTCTAGGGATTTAAAATGGGATCGTAGGTGCATGATCTCATTTGAGCCTCACGACAAGCAGATGAGGCTGCACAGTGAATGAACGCCTCTTACTCTGCCAGCCCAGTATTCCTTTCTTTTGGATCCTGACTTTTCCTCCATTGTGTTCTGGTGGGGCTGCCAGTCACAGGACAGTCCCATCTCTTGGATCCCTTCCATCCCCCACCCCCAACGTTGGACATGTGGTTCTGGCTAGGCCACTGAATTCTTTTTGCTGGGGATTTGAATCTTATGGAGAGATGCCTTGGGGGAGAAAGATATTGGAGTTGTGTAAAGAGAATGCCCAGAGCCTGGCTGTTCAGCTCTTCGTTCCGTTCTGTGAGTTATTTTAGTTTCCTTCCAGTAAAATTGCCTGAGTTCGTATGGGCTCCTGTCTACCAAAGAAACCCAAATTATAAACCCCCTTTAGTTTCAAATTGCCAGGTGTTGAGCCCAGGTCCTCTTATCCCAAGTCAGTGACTGTTCATGATACTAGATAAACGCAAAGTCGCATGGGAAATTTAAGGAAGGAAAGAGAGAGAACTGAGAAGTTGAGCAATGAAGCTTTTTTTTTTTTTCTTTTTTTAAAAGAAGCCAACCATCTTTCCCAATGGCATCAGGTCAGGATTCATCCCTGGGAATGTAATTCATGTTTAACGGCAGTTGTGTGAGTTGGCATGTACCCAAGTTCGCCCACAGCCGACATGGTCAGGCCAAGCCTCTTTTCAGTTTTATTCTTGTTATGCTTTCGTAGGATGTGTGTTTGCTGGTAGGCTGATCCTTAAGTATATTTACCTACGACTCTGTCTTTGTGTTTTCTTGACTCTATTGATTTGGCAAACAATCAGAAGTAGCTGGTACAGTTCAAATGGAGAGGGAGGGAGGTTGGTGGGTGTGGTTATCAAAAATTTAGCAGCAGGTAAAATTTTGGCAGGTAGGAGAAATCTTTTTAGGTAGCATATATGCTAAAACATATGACTTTGCTTTCTACTGCTTCATATCAAATAAAATTCCAGATTCTGTGCTTAGGAATATACACGAAAAGGCCCAAGGCTCTCTCCCCCTCTTGAGGCTGTTCTGGTACCTTCTGCAGTGGTATGAAATTAAGTGTGGAAGATCTCTTTTGTGAGAGGGATCTCTTCTAGTTAAAACTAAGAGGTACCAAACTGCTGAACTATTAGCCTATTTAGATCATTTCCAGCCAAGGACTTATATCCTAAAGGAAGTCAGAGGTAATCGTGAGGCTTTTGAAGTTTCTCATGCATGATGGTTGAATGACTGAGTGAATGAATGAATGGGATAAAGAGTGAGAGGATGCCTAGAAGCCTAGAATGCTGGAACTAAAAGGGAACCTCGTGGTCACCCAGTACAACCCTGCACTAGTTATTCATAGCTGCATAACAGATCACTTCAAGTTTCAGTAGCTCAAAACAACAATAATCATTTACTATTTCTCTCCTGATTTCTCTGGGTCAGGATTTCAGAGCAACTTGGTTGGATAATCCTGTCTCGAGGTCTCTTATATGGTTACAGTCAGGTGTTAGCTGGGCTGCAGTCATCTGAAGGCTTGACTGGGGCTGGGGGCTCTGATTTCCCAGGTGGCTCACTCATACAGCTGGCCAGTTGGCATGGGCTGTTGGTGGGAAGTTTCAGCTCCTCTCCATGTGGGCCTCTTCATAGGGCTGTGGGTGTCCTCTGGTGTGGCAGACAGCTTTCCCTTGGGCAAGTGATGCAAGAGAACAAGCCAGAAGCTGCAATGTCTTTTATGACCCAGTGTTGGATGTCACATGCCATCACTTAAGCAACCTTCTGTTGTTCAGGCAGCCCTGGTATGATGCGGGAGGGAACTACATAGGGTGCGAACACCAAGCCAGGATCACCAGGACTGTCTTGGAGGCTGACTACCACAACCCCTTCTCTTTCTTTTTCTTCCAGTTTTATTGAGATATAATTAACAAACAAAATTGTGTCTATCTAAGGTATATAATGTGATGACTTGATAAGTGTATATATTTTGAAATGATTACTACAGTCAAGTTACTTAGCCCATCTATCATTCACATAGTTATTATTTTTGCGTGTGTGGTGAGAACATTTAAGAGCAACTCTCTTAGCAAATTTCAAGTATACAATACAATATTATTAATTATAGTCACAATGCTGTACATGAGATCCCCAGAACATATTCATCTTATAACTAATAGTTTGTACTTTTTGACCAACATCTCCCCATTCCCCGTACCTTCTGTATGTGAGTTCTCCATGAGTTTGACTCTTTTAGATTATAAATATAAATGAGATCATGCAGTATTTGTCTTTCTCTGACTTATTTCATTTAGCATCATGCCTTCCAGGCTCATCCATGTTGTTACAAATGATAGGATTTCCTTCTTTTTGTGGCAGAATAATGTTCCATAACATAAGTATATCATGGAACATAATATTTTAAGACAGATAAAAAGGGTAAAAGAAATAAAATAGATACATATATATTCACCACCCAGTTCAAGAAATAAAAGAGTATCAATTCAGTTGACCCCCCCATATACCTGCCCTGATTGCATCTCCCTCTTCCTCCATCCCTTTATCCTTAGGAAACCATGTTCTGAATTTTGTGTTTAGGCTGCTATGCATTCTTTTATACTTCCACTATAAGTTTATGTATCTTTATATGTGGTGGTGTTTGGCATATTTTGAAACTTTCTGTATGGCATCATCCTGTATGATTCTTTTGCAACCTTCTCTTTTTATTCAGAACTATATCTGTGATATCCATCTATGCTAATCTGTAGAGCTCTAATGTATTTTTTTATTTACATTTTTATGTTTCAAAGGCAAGGTCTCATTCTGTAACCCAGGCTGGAGTGCGGCAGTGTGATCATAGCTCATGCAACCTCAAACTCCTGAGCTCAAGCAATCCTTCTTCCTCAGCCTCCCAAGTAGCTGGGACTACAAGCTAATTCATTTATTTTAATGACTATACAAGTGGTCCCCAACTTACAGTGGTTTGACTTTGGATTTTTAAATTTAGGATGGTATGAAGGCAATATACATTCATTATGCTCCTCGACTTACAATGAAGTTACATCTAGTCAAACCCATCATAAATTGAGAATATTGTAAGTTGAAAATGCACTCCAGATATACGATATTTTCAACCCAATCATGGGTTTATTAAGATGTAATCCCATCATAAGTTGAGGAGCATCTATATAGTATTTCATTGTATGAACACATAATAATTTGTTTATCCATTCTCCAGCTGATGGACATTCAGGTTGAATATAATTGTTTTTGCAGTTACACACAATAATTACTACAAGTGTTCTTGTAAACTCTCCTTGTACTCTGGTACAAGAGTTTTTCTAGGGTATAGTTCTAAAGATGGAATGGATGGATCATATGATATGCACAGCTTCAGTTTTACTCAGTCGTGTCAGTTTGTTTTCCAAAATGGTTGCACTCGTTTGTACGACTACCAATAGTGATGGAATCCATTGCTCTTCGTTCTAGTAATGTTAAACTAAAAATTTCATGCACAGCTGATGGATATGAAACGGTATCTATTTATGGTGTTAATTTCCTTTTCCCTGACTATTAATGAGACCCAGCAATTTTTTTCCTCCCATTTGGCCATTTGGGTTTCTTCTTCTGAGCAATTTTTGCTTATATATTTTGCAAATTTTTCTATTACAATTTTTTTCTTATTCTTTTGAAAGAATTATTCATAGATCCTGGACACTACTTTTTGTCAGTTACGTATGTTGCCAACATTTTTTTCCTGTTTGATGCTTGTCCTTTTTACTTTTTTGTTGTCTTTGTTGAGATGCAATTAAATATATCAGTCTTTTCCTTTAGGGGTTGTTTACTATGGCAGAGACTACTGGTGTCTACTCAAATTCACCCCTTCTTTCTTTTATAGTAAAGTGAAGTGGACTGTGGCTGTGGAGTATGTCTGAAAGTAATGTGTGCAAAGTCTACCTCACTTGTATCAGAGGAAATCTGTTTCTAAATGTCCACTCTTTCTCCCTGCAGCGGCCTGAAATGGCAGCAACCAGAGAACCTGGGAAACCTCACACTGAGGTGCTCAGAGGTCCTGGCCCCCTGGATCTGCCACTACCTGCAACTGCTGGCCCGGAGGCCTTTGCTGAACTGGGACAGGGACATAACCTTGTTTTTTCAGCTGATGGATTATGGGGTCTCTCAGTTATTGCAGCTTAGCCTACTGGGGTCACAAAGATATTTTCTGTTTTCTTCCAAGCATTTGAAGTATTGCTTCTTACATTTGGGTCTTTAATCTGCCTGGAGTTGATTCTCATTATGGTCAAAAATTATACTTTTAAAAAACGGATTACCAACTGTTCCAGTACCCAATATTTTTCTTTTTTTCCCCCAGAAGAATGAGGCCCAGAGAGGTTAAGACACTTTATCAAGATCACACAGCTGATTAGTGAATTATAGGTTGTATGGAGAGCTGGCATTTATAATATTCTTCCCCAAAGCCTTACAAAGCAGGAATTATCATTAGTATTTGATTTTGCATAGAAGAAAACCAATGCCATACTGACAAGGTGAGCGAGTCATCTCCATGCCGTGGCTCCTCCTGTTGTGCCCTTTTACTGTGTGACCATGCCATGGACAGATAATTAAACCTAATCGAATCTAGTAAGTATTAAGCACCTCCCATATGCAAAGCTCTGTGATAAGTGCTGCAGGCACGCCAAGGTGAGTAAAACACAGGGACACAGCCACTGATCCAGGGACCTTAGAATCTGGTCAGGAGTAAGGGAGAGGTACTTCGGACTTTGAGAGAGAAAAAGAAGCTATGGGGTTTGGGATGTGTGTGTGAGGACATGTTCTGCTCAGGGGATGAAGAAAGTTCTTGTGATGTTTGAGAGCCCATCAGGCAGTCTGGGGGAAGAGTTTCCTGGGGCAAGGAACTGTTTGAACAAAAGCACACAGGCTGGGTTGGGTGCAGTACTCCTGGCACTGTAATTACACATGTAATCCCAGTACTTTGGGAGGCCAAGGTGGGTGGATCACCTGAGGTCAGGAGTTCAAGACCAGCCTGGCCAACATGGTGAAACCCTGTCTCTACCAAAATACAAAAATTAGCTGGGTGTGGTGGCACCCGCCTGTAGTCCCAGCTACTTGGGAGGCTGAGGCAGGAGAATCACTTGAACCCAGGAGGCAGAGGTAACAGTGAGCCAAGATCACACCACTGCACTCCAGCCTGGGTGACAAAACAAGACTCCATCTAAAAAAAAAAGAAAAAAAGAAAAGAAAAGAAAAAGAAAAAAGAAAGAAAAGCACACAGGCTGGAAAGCACAAGGCATGCTTAGGGTACAGGCAGGAGTTGAGTTTGATTGGAGCGAGGTTGGGTGAGGGGCTGTGGGAGGTGAAGCTGGACTGGACCCAGCTGCATCTACCATCCAGCTATTTCTATGAAATAGCAGTAATGGCGACCAGGTATGTGGGCACCTCAGGTTACAGGGATTGCAGGTAAAAAACGTGTGGGAGTCAGTAAAATCATTTTTGCTTCAATCACCTTTTACAATGTTAGTAAAAAGTCTATATCGCTGTATTTGGGTAGGGTTTTCGAACTTTATAGAACCTTATATGAAAAGCAATTCAGGAGGTAGCAAAAGACGTTATCATCTTAGGAGTCCTTTCCCAGAGCCACCATCACGTCTTGTGGAGCTGGCATTGTGTGTGTCCATTCACAGACCCTGAGAGACATGGCTACATCTCAAGCTTACCATCAGTTCCTTTCAGCAGAATTTCATAGCTCTCTGAATTTCTCCACCATCTTGTACTTATAAACTCTATAACTTGACTGGTATGCTTCAGAAAAAGCCTTCTTCATTGTTAGGCCCCCAAAGCCTGTGTCCCCTGCCGGGCACGGGACAGGTGCTCACACACATTTGGGGAATGAGTAGCAGATGTTAGGAGGGACTAAGGAATGAATTCCTCAATGCTGCATGTGGTGACTGCTGTGGGGCAGCCGTGCACAGGACAGGCAAGACAGGGTACCCACGTGACTGCCCGGTGCTGGCGTGGCAGGAGGCTGGAAAGAATTCCTGAAACTCCTTTGTTTATTTGTTCATTTATTTATTTATTTATTTGAGATGGAGTCTCACTTTGTTACCCAGGCTGGAGTGCAATGGTGTGATCTTGGCTCACTGCAACCTCTGCCTCCTGGGTTCAAGCGATTCTCCTGCCTCAGCCTCCCGAGTAGCTGGAATTACAGGTGCTCGCCACCATGCCCAGCTAATTTTTGTATTTTTAGTAGAGACGGGATTTCATCATGTTGGCCAGGCTGGTCTCAAACTCCTGACCTCAGGTGATTTGCCTGCCTCGGCCTCCCAAAGTGCTGGGGTTACAGGCATGAGCCACTGCCCCCGGCTGAGTTTCTGAAACTCGGCATTAATTCCGATGCACACCCAGGTGCTGTCACAGACAATTGGCCTATACAACATAGAGGTTTATTTCTCTTTCGTGTCAAAGTCTGAAGCAGTCTGCAGCTTGGCTTGCTAGAGTTTTCAGAGACCTAGGCTCCTTGTACTCTGTGACTCTGCCATCCTAGGGGGTGTCGCCTTACCCACAAATTGCTCCATCACATCCACATTCTAGGCAAAAAGAACGGGGAGAGGAGGAAGGGAAGGACATGATCCTTGTATTAAGGGCACACCTTGGAGGTGCACATATGTCTTCTGCTCACACCCAGTTAGCCAGAACCTAGTCATGTGGCTACTCCTCGCTGCAAAGGAAGACGGGAGA